GGGGAGGAGGGCATCGCTGGCCCCAGGGAACAGACAAATGAGGTCCCCCAAGGCAAAGCCCACTTGGGGAAAGCTCTCCGGAAGCTCGTGCGGTCGCACGTCTAGCGATCAGCTGGCGAGCACACCCCGCGATGCTCTGGCCCGCGGTGCTGGGCCTCGTCTCGCTGTTGAGGCTGCACACGCTCTCGCATCCGACGCTCAACCTGGCGCGCCGCAGGGACTGGACCGTGCGGGGGACGGGGAACAGAGCAGCACAACCCGTGGCAAAAAACACGTGCGCGACGAGCTGCCAGGGCGAGCGGCCTGCAGAGCATGAACAGGGCCGCTCGGAGTCGGAGTAGGTCCGGGTAAGTGATGAGGGGGACGGCAAACGCGAGGGGGGTGCGAGGCAGCCAGAAGGAAGGGGACAGAGAGAGCAATACGTCTATATATGTGTATATATATACACACACTGGAACAACGCGCGCGCTTCGCCCGCGATTATGCTCTAGCCAAGGCAAAGCCAGCGTCACAGCAATCAGCGGATGGGTACGCACGCCATCCCAAAACGACCACTACGTGGGAACACCTGCGCTGTCGTGGGCATACATATCTGAATAGCGTCTCTCTGCCTATTTCGGCACATCCTTCAAACGGATGATGCCCGCAGGGAGCTCCCTCTACGGCTCCCCATCCATCTCGGCACACCAATCACAAGGATCGTGTCCCACAGGGATCTTCACCTATGGCCCCATTGCATAGCGGCAAACCCCTCACGCGGATAGTGCTGCCCCGCAGGCAACTGCACTTAAAGGGAAGCTTCGCATAACGTCGCCCAACTCACGTCGGCACACCTCTCACACAGATGGCACCCTGCAGGGAATTCCACCTACGGCCCCAAAGACAAAGTTCGCATCCCGCCCCCGGCCTAATCCGGCACACCTCTCACACTGACCGTGCCCCACAGGGAGCTCCACCGACGGCCCCAGCGGTGGGATTTGCATAGCGCCCCGCCCCCGCCCCCGCCCATTGGGGCACACCGCTCACGCGGAACGTGACCCCACACAGGGAACACCACCCACAGCCCCAGAGACAAGGTCTGCAAATCGTCCCTCCGAATCGTGCTCTGGAGCGAGCTCCACCTGTGGCACCGAATGGGCAGCTTCGCATGGCGGCCCCCCGCCGATTTTGGCACATGCCGCACACGGGCCGTGCCCCGCACGAGGGCTCCACCTGCGGCCTCAGTGGGAGGGCTCGCGCGGTTGCACCTGGATTAGTCGGCACCCCCTTTACGCGGATCGTCGTCCTCCTCCTCCTCCTCCTCCTCCTCCTCCTCCTCCTCCTCCTCCTCCTCCTCCTCCTCCTCCTCCTGTGCACGCTTGCTCCTCAGCAGCCCGTTGTCAGCTCAGCCCCGCGGCGAGCAGCACACGAAGAGAAGGCCGCGCACTGTGCTGCACGTGACTGCACAGGGATGGGCTCGTCGCCGGACCAAGTGTTTGATCGGAGACGCCTACGGCGAATCACCGCCGCCCCCTGCCTTTTTGGAAACGCCTATGTGGCCGAACGTTGTGGCCAGAGGCCTGCCAAGCTATCGGACCATATGTTCCCCGAATCGGTTTGGAAAGCGTTCGGGGAACACGGTGGGCGAGCCTGGGTCGACTTGGGCCTTTCTTGGGGTGCTCCAGGGCCGTCTTGGAGGCGATCTTGAGCGTCTTGGAGGCCTCTTGGGCCGTCTTGGGGGCCTCTTGGGGCAGTCTTGGGGGCCTCTTGGGCCGTTCTGGGGCCATACTGGAGACCTCTTGGGCGATCTTTGGGGGCTCTAGGGCCGACTCGGGCCGTAGGAAGGCCGAAAAAAGCAAATGCCAAAATCCTTCAAAAACTCTTGGGAAATCAATCGTTGTGGCCTTTTCGGGCCTTCCTGGAGGCCCTCTTGGAGGCCTCTTGGGCCGTCTTGGGCCATCTTCGGCCGTCTTGGTGGGCTCCTGGCCAGTCTGATGCCGTCGGAAGCCGTTTGGGCGGCCTCTCTGGGCCGACTTGGGGCCTTCTTGGAATGCTCCAGGGCCCTCTTGGAGGCCAGATTGGGCGTCTTAATTAAAGCCTGCTGGGCCGTCTTGGGGCCCTCTTGGGGCCGTCTTGGGGGCCTCTTGGGCGGTTCTGGGGCCATCTTGGAGGCCTCTTTGGCGATCTTGGGGCGATCTTGGGGGGCTCTTGGACCGTCTCGGGCCGTTGGAAGGCCGAAAAGAAGCAAATGCCAAAATCCTTCAAAAACATACGGAAACACACAATGATTCTGGCCTGATTGAGCCTTCCTGGGGGCCCTCTTGCAGGTCTCTTGGGTCGTCTTGGGCTAGCCTAGGACAACTTCGGCCATCTTGGTGGACTCCTGGCCCGTCTGACGCCGTCGGAAGCCGTTTGGGCGGCCTCTCTGGGCCGGCTTGGGGCCTTCTTGGGGTGCTCCAGGGCCGTCTTAGAGGCCATCTTGGGCGTCTTGGAGGCCTCTTGGGCCGTCTTGGGGCCCTCTTGGGGCCGTCTTGGGGGCCTCTTGGGCCGTCATGGGGCCATCTTGGAGGCCTCGTGGGCAATCTTGAGGCGATCTTGGGGTCCTCTTGGGCCGTCTTGAGCCATCGGAATGCCGAGAAGAAGTAAATGCCACAATCCTTCAAAACCCAAAGGGGAATCAACGATTTTGGCATCTTCAGGCCCTCCTGGAAGACCTCTTGGAGGCCTCTTAGGCCGTCTTGGACCGCCTTGGAAGCTTCTTGGGCGAACTTGGAGGTATCTTGGATCCTCTTTGGCCGTCTGGGAAGCGATCTTGGACCATCTTGGGCGAGCTTGAGGGCCATCTTGGCCGTCTTGGAGGCCATCTTGAGCCGTCTTGGAGAATGTTCTGCGGACGTTGAGGTCGTTTCTGGTCCTGGACAAGCCTTCCGGGACCCCGGCGGGACGGGCCGAAGCCCTAGGGGGCAGGGGGAGTTCTTTTGGAAACAACCAAAACCAAAACCGAAAGGGTCTAGCGACAGGGGGCGGCGGACCTATGGCCTTCGGCTTATACCGCCACCGTGCCTGAGTTTGGGGCCAGGAATGAAAACCTCTTGGCATGCTTATCGGGCTCCCAGTGGAGCGAGTTTTGAAGCTTCTCGGGGCCTCTTGGGGGCCGTTTGTGAGCCTCTTGGGGCCTCTTTGGGGGCCCTTGGGGGGACTCTTGGGGCCTGCTAAAGGCCTCGAAGGTCCACTTGGGGGGGACTCAAAATGTGAGTTCGGGTTCCCTTTGGGCCTCTCCTGGGGCCCTTTTGGGCAGTATTGGGCACCTCTTGGTCCGTCTTTGGGCTCTCTGGAGCCGCGGGCTTCTTGGGCCGTCTTGGGACGATCTTGGAAGCATCTGGGGCCGTCTTGACCGCGTTGAAGATTCAAAACACGAACATGCTAAACATCTACGTGTTCCCAAAGGAATGCGACAAGTTGGGTCATCTTTGCGCGGGGGGGTACCCACTTCATGCGGGTCGCGCCCCACAAGGAGATCAGCGCACAACCGCGAGACTGCTCAGCCACTTGTACGTTCTCCGCCTCCTTCCCTCCGGCTTCATCGTGTCGCATGCTGCTTCTCCTCCTCGTCGTCCTCCTCCTGCTCCTCCTCCTCCTCCTCCTCATTCTCCTCCTCCTCCTCCTCGTCCTCCTCCTGCTCCTGCTCCTGCTCCTGCTCCTGCTCCTCCTCCTCCTCCTCCTCCTGCCCCAGCTCCTCCTCCTCCTCCTCCTCCTCCTCCTCCTCATCCTCCTCCTCCTGCTCTTCCTCTCCAGCGCCCACGTCTCCCCCCTTCCTATTTCCGTCGTCACTTCGCTCCTCTTCCCTCCCGCCGCCCAATCTGATCATCTTCCTGCTCGCTCCTGTCCATAGGTCCCCCAGAGCGCCCTCGACAAGTCGCGGCCCAGGGAAGCTCCCAGGGGCGTGTGAACCTGCAGGAATCGAAAAGACCGTTCGGAAACGTCCGACCAGTCTCTCGGGGGCCTTGTGGAGCCTCTCGGGGGCTATTTGAAAGCTTTTGGGGGGCTTTCTGGGTGCCTCCTGGGGGCTTGTTGGGGGCCTTGCGGGGCCTCTTTGGATCTGTTGGGGCCTCTCAGATAACTGAAACTCTTGGGACCTCTTGGAGACTCTTCGAGGCCTTTTGGGGGGGCTTCTTGGGGGACTCTGGGGACTTTTGGGGGGCCTCTTCAAGCAAGGCCTCTTGGAGGCCTCTTGGGGGCGCGCCGCGACGCGGTGGCCGCGCGGCAGTGCCCGCGGAGGCAAACAAAACGCGACGGCGCCGCAACGGCGGCGGCGGCGGCAGCAGCAGCATCGACAGCGGCAGCGGCAACGGCGGCGGCGGCAACGGCGGCGCCAGCAAATGAAGGGGCCCTGGGACACACAAATAAATACACACAAATAAAAGGATCCCCCATATTTTGCCATATTTTCTGGGTTTTTGTCTTCCCCACCACTTCCCATATTTTCCCATATTTTCTGGGGAGTCGACGATTAATTGTGTCTGTGTGTGTTTTTTGTCCCTCCTGAGCAAAGGCGGCGGCGGCAACGGCGGCGGTTGCGGGAGCGCAACTCGGCCCCAGAGGGCGTGCAGCCGGCCCAAGTTCCCCAGGAAAGCTCAGGAATGCCTCGGGGAGCGTGCAGAGGCATCGGGGAGACCCGGACCTGGCACAACACGGGCGCAAGACGGCGCAAAGTGGAAGCTCCAGGGCGCGTGAGAACAAGGAGGAATCGAACCGGTCGGAAACTTCCGAGCGATCGCAAAGTGGCCTTCTGGAGCCTCTTGGGAACTCTTCGAAGGCCTCCTGGGCGCCTCCGAGGGAAGCTTTTCGAAGGCTTCTTGGGGGCGCCTCTGGGGGAGCTGTTTGGTGGTCTTGTGGGGCCTCTGGAAATTGGGGCCTCTTGGAGACTCGTGGGGGCATTTGGGAGTTTCTTGGCGGCTCCGGGGACGTTTGGGGGGTCTCGTGGGGGTCTCTTGGAAGCCTCTTGGAGGCCTCTTGAGGGTCTCGTGGGAGCGTCTTTGGGTTCTTTTCCTGCTCCGGACAGAACCTTCTTAAAACGCAGCGTCTCCTCTCATGCGCAGGCACCGCTGGTGTGCAGGCAGGCTCCGCGGCCACGGTCTGGCAGAGGCTACGAAGCGTGCTCTCACTACAACACTTCGCAGGACGCAGGAGGACACGCTGGTGCCAGGTGCTTCTGCTGGGGACCCACGTCCGACCCGCACATATAGCACCCAGGCGTGGACCATTTACAATACCCACACAGAGTTGGGCCAGAGATTGTCCGCCAAGATGTTTCGGAGCGCTTGTCGCCCCTGCGGCAACGACGCATACATGTCATGATTGTGTGTCTGAGTCTGGCCGACTTCGAGCCTCGAGCACACAGCCTTGCACATCGTCCACATGTCTATGTTGAGAGGGACGAGATGGAGAACCAACGCGAAGCTCTAACAGTGCTGCCACAACCCCTGCGCTGCCTGCTGGAGGTGCCCGCCTGATGGGTCTGGTCGCTCAGACCTGGCTGTTGCACCTAGAGACTCTGGAAGGCCATAGCCGCACAAGTCCGACGCAGGCCCCAGCAAAGGCAAGTGTTGGGTACACGTGTTACGTGCAAAGGTGCCCATGCCACATTCCGAGCACATTGTGCCAGCTGTCGAACGAGCGGAGAGGTAACTGGGTGCCAAAAGGCACACAAAGCAAAGCCCTAGCAAGGGCGAACTGAGCGAACGGCATGCCCTGAACGCTTCTAGAGAGCTGGGTACTGCTGACAACACTCAATGAATTAGGGCGCCGGAAGACACGACTGCGAGGCGGGGAGGTGGGCCTCGGGAAGAGGATGGGATGAGACGTGGGCGCGGCGAGGCGTCGTGGTCGAGTCTCTCTTCGGCAGCCGCGCCCAGCCGAGTGTTCAGTCTCGCGCCACGTCGGCCCACGAGATCTCCTGGTCCCAGATCCTCACGTCTCGCAGGCTGCCGCGGAAGACCTGGGCCCTGAACTTGAAGTGGCCGCCGACGACCATGCGTGGTCTTGGCTTGGGCAGCGGGGCCGCCCCGTGCGGGCTCTCGCCCACGAGCACGCCGTCCTTGAGCACCCGCATGTGCCCCGACGCGGACACGGTGCACAGCATTGTGACCTCGTGCCCGGGCTCGAAGAAGTCGTGGACGGTGACGGAGAAGGGCTCCTTGCGCTGGAAGACGGTGAAGTGCAGGTCCCGGGTGAGCCCGACGGCCCCAGGCCGTGATGCTGTCGCAGTCGGCCTCCGCACTGGAGAAGTCGAACACGCGGCACCGGTGGTTGAAGCTGTCCATCCGCACCACGCACGCGAACGAGAACGCTCCCCCCAGGGGGCCGGGGACGCTGCTGCCCAGATTCATCGGGAGCTCCAGCTGGTCCAGGTACTCCGCCAGGGGCTTCGCGTGGCGCCGCCTGGAGGTCGGCTGTGCGCCCACCTCGCCTGCCACGGCCGGGGTGGCGTCGGCGCCAGGGGCCCGGCACCGTCGTCCGTGCAGCTGGCTGCAGTGCCGGGGGAGGGGCCGCTCACCTGCCTGCACATGTAGGTGCGTCGAGATGTGCTGTGGATCTGCTGCCCAGGGGCGAGAGGACGGACTCGAAGGCTTGGGCGCGAGAGTGTTGAGCCGGACGGGCTTGAGCCAGAATGGCTGCGGAACGTCTCTGGGGCTTCTTGGAGCGTCTTGGGAGCTTTTGGGGGGCGTCTCGGGGCCTCCTGGGGGCCTCCTGCGGGCCTCCAAGGGAGCGATATTGAGGCCTCAGCAGCCCATCGGAGGCGATAAAGCGAGAAATCAAAAATCATAGATCTCCCTTTGGAATTTAAAGTTCATGCGTTGTCGCAAAGGTTCTAGAAGGTCTCTTGAGGCCCTCTGGGGCTGTCTGGAGCGTCTCTGTAGGCGACGTGAGGCTCTCTTGGACCGTCTGAAACCTCTGGGGTCCGTCATGGGGGTTGCTTTGGATCGTCTTGGTCCGCTTGGACGGCAGTTTGATGAGTCTCTGGGGTGATTTTGGGCCCACCCACAGGTGGGCCGGCCCCCTGGTCCTCCCATGTGTATGTGCACACATGTGTGTACGTGTGCATGTACATGTGCATGTATATTCTATGTGTATACAAGTCGGCGCTGCCCACAGGGGCGAGAGCAGGGGACGTGAGGATGTTGGGCCTCTCTGGGGCCCCCTCCAGGGGCGAAAGCCAGAGCCGGCGTGCTCCCCCGACACGCCGACCGCAGCATCTCCAATCTGATTTGAACCAACCGAAGTTTCTGCCGACGCCCGTATACATATACATAAATATAAGAGAGAGAGAGAGAGAGAGAGAGACAAACAAAACACAGCAAAACAAACAAAGATGAAGAAAAAGAGACAGAGAAAGATAAAGAGAAAGAGAAAGAGAAAGAGAAGAAGACAGAGAAAGAAAAAGAGAAAGAGAATGAGAGAGAGAGAGAGAGCAATGAGGAAGACGGGTTCGGAACAAAGGCGATGGGAGGGCTCAAAGAGGGCAGGAGGAAGGCTGGCGGCAGACACATCTTGATGGTGGCGGGCAAGCGAGTCATTGTTCCAGGCCGGATGGACTCATTCACGGACTCACCGTGCCTTGAAACCATAATGTTGAAGCACTTCCTGAATTTCACTCGAGAAGCTAGAACGAAAAGTGCGTATAGCCGAATGGGCACCTTGACGACACTCCAAATTGATGACGCAATGCCAAGGCATCACAATGCCACCTACCATCGGTCGGACCAGTACCCTCCCCGAACAGAGAAATTGGCATTGTGGCACGATGGTAGAGATACCGCCTCTTCAAAAATGCGCGGGATACCACGATTACGCGATCGTTGGTCGATATCATTATGGTTGGCGACTGCGCGATTCTCATACAGACACACGAAAGGATGAAGGACTGCACTCAAGGAGCATGGTTGAACACGCAGCGACGACGCACAGAGATCAAAAGCATCCATGCAGCATAGCGAAGCAGGGCTTCACGTTTCCAAAAGCGTGCGCTTCGCGTACACCGAACTCACTGCCAGAAAAGTCCATGTGCAGCGGCCGACACTCAAGAAGTACACTGGTAGAGCTGAATATCGAAGCTCAGACACGTCAGAGTCTGTACTTTGAGCAATTGAGGTGAGGGGCACTTGCTCCACGGACCCATGCTATTCACTACAATGCTTCCTGGCAAGCTGGTACCTCGTAACATGTCAATGCTGCCGAAGTGTGACTCCGAGATTTAAATGGCGCCCGAAACGTTCCCCGAGGGGCGAGGGGCTGCTGTCCCAAAGACCCTTGAGCGGCAACAAACATGCTGAGGATTGTCTCTGGCTTAACACCGAAGTTCACCCAAAGGAACCACAATGCGCCAAACGAAACCCCTAAGAGACCGCATCAGCGGCTCCCAAGGAGGCCCCAATCGGCCCTAACACCGTGCCAAGACTGCCCAGTGACCCCCCAAGACAATCAAAAACGGCCCAAGACGGTCCAAGAACAGCCCAAGACTTGTCAGCACTGGAACAAGGCGCATGCTAGACAACCCCACGACATTGCAGCCAACACCCCCAGAAGCTGCAGCATCCCAAGCTATTGCCCGAAGACCCCAAGCAATCTCCCAGAACAAAAAACATTGAATTCATCTTGCTGGCTGGCTGTTGGCAGGCCAGACCCCGCGACGTCATATATTAAAGCGCTACGGGGCCTCGGCATCTCCACCTGCCGCAAAGCCCCCCCATCGTCCTCGCTGAAGCCAAAAAGGCGGGAGATGCCATGCAACGGCCTTCTGGGCGGTCCCTGAGAGGGTCACCATGCAGAGCGTTACGGGGTTTGCAGCGGGCCTCTAAATCTGCGAGCGGGCGCACCAATCTCGACCTCGCGCCCTCCACAAAAGCGAGAACAGGGAAGACGAGGGTTTCGGAGCTCCTCCAGGGCCCAAATCTGCGTTTCTTCAAATCGGCGACAGTGGCACTCCAACCCGACCCAAACCAACCAAAACCCTCGCCAGTGCCAAAACAAAGGGCAACATGACCTGTTCAACGGTTGTGTCCTGTAACATGGCAGCCAGTTGGTCTCTCAGAGAAGTGCAGCCTGTCCGAGCTTTGGATTTTATGGGGTAGAGCGGAGACTACATAGTGCTTCAGCGAAAACATGAACCTGCACTCCAGGACTGAAGCAGGGGCAGATCGCCAAGGCAGATTCAAGACTCGCCGGTGCAAGCATCTGCAAAGCAATGGCTTTACATTCAGCTATAATGCAAGAGCAGGTGTTTGATGGTTGTTCCTTGAACTTACTTCTCGCTGGCTCAAACAAAAAATGATCATGTGTGATGTACGTCTCTGATGTTCAATCGCAGGTTCTTGAATGTTGTTTCTTTGTTCGCTTTGCTTTGTCTTTTTTCTCAAATATGTCGACGGCGTCATATCGTCGCCGTCGCCGTCGCCCTCGTCGTCGCCTTCGTCGTCGCCGTCGTCGGAAGGGGGGGCCTCGCAGCCCAGGAGGGGGGATAAAGGGGGGAAGGGCTTCGCAGCCCCAGGAGGGGGCGTCGTCGTCATCGTCGCCATCCTCGGGCGCCCCGCGCGAGCGCACGGGCGCGGGGAGGCGGGCCCCGCGGGAGCCTCGCCCCCCCCTCGGAGTCCTAAACACTGCTCTTTCCGCGGCGCGGGCTTGCCCTTCCCGAAAGTTTTTTTTTGCAAGGGCTGGCCCTCTCAGCCAAAACGAATTAGCGCACGGCCCTTCGCTCAGGGGCGCTAGTTGCCATGAGATCCAAGCCGTTCAATCGGCCTCCCCAGAGCCCTTGTCGCGCGGGTCGGCCTATTCCGTGGAACAAAAGCTTCCTGCAACTACTATTGTCAGCTGCGCTCTTTCAGCCCGTTGAATGATGCCTTTCAGCCCAGTCCCTTCCATTGCAGCCCAGCCCAGTCCAGACCTTCACTCAGAGCGGCGGCCTCCCCGATTCCTCAACGATTCCGAGGAACAGAACTTCCCACCACCACGACTGACTGTAGTAAATTGCTTATCTGTCCTACCTCCGCGTAGCCCGGCCACTTCGGGCAAATGGGCGCGACGTTACAATAGAGCGCGTTCGTCGCGTTGCGCAGGCCGCGGCAATCCGCCAGGCGCACTTGCACTTGCAGCCGTGGAACAGACGCGTCTGTCTGCCGAGCTGGTCGAAAGCGCCCAGAAGGTCAACAGCGTCGACGATCTCGGCGACCTTGAGGATCGCTGGGTTGGGCACCCAGACGATTTGCCAATAGCGGCCTTCCCTCCACCCTTCAGAGCCACACATAGGCAATTCCGATTCGCTGACGCAGGCTGCGTAAGAGGCCATCTTTATCACGTCGCCGACGCACTCGCACCAATGAAGAAAGTCTGTGCTCTTTGGCCAACGACCCTTCACTCGCTCCTGCAGCCATCGAAAATGGTGAGACTGTTGACACCGCTGGTCGTGCCAAGGTTGTCGCCGCGTCCGCGCCGGAGCTGCTTTCGCCTGTCCGACGCCAGGCATCCGAGCACGTGCCAGAAGACCGCGTAGATGACGTTGCCCGGGCCCGCGCACCTTTGGCGGCCGCCGCGCGACCTGACCAAGACAGCGCCACTGTAGCTGGGCTCCTTGATCGCCCTCTTTCCATCATCACCACGCCTGCGCCCACGACGCGGATAGAAAACGAAACGCCACCTTGGGATCGCGGCAAGCAAAACGAAAAACGAAACGCGCACAAGAAACAACGTTTGAATTCAAACGAGTTCCCAACAAAAGCGGACAACGCAACGGAAGCACAACGAAAAGCATGACGAAGAACAAAACAAGGGCCCAAATCCAACTAAACGAAATTGTGGTCGGCCCTTGCCGTGAACAACTTACTCGTCGACCGAAGTGGCCTGCGTATCTGCGCGCGCAGTGCAGGCGCACTTACCATGCACGCGCGCACGCGCGTTTCTACATCATTGATTGTGCATTGGTTGAAATACATATACATTTACAGGTATACATGCACATGCATGTATACGGTTAGCTAAATGTATGTGTCCATATACAAACAAACATTTGGGCACATCACAGTCGCGTCGCCCGGCCTTCGTGGAAATTTTCCCAGGGGGACAGCTGCAGCAAATTGTTCGGCGGCTAAGTAATTGGAGTATGGATCTGGCAAGGGGGTAGCAGCCCGCGACCGTGAACTCCTGCGTTCATTTGGGCGCCCACTCCGCGGTCCTCAGCTGCTTCCTCTGCTGCGCTCCAAGCGGCGACGATTAGCGCAGCCTTGCGACGAACGGAAGCGGCGATCGCGGCGACGGAGGCGGCCAGAGGGACTCGGAGCCTCCTCCTCTTGCAACGAGAGGATCAACTCGTCTTGCTTTCCGCGGTTGCCCTCGTCTGGCTTTGCGCCCTGGGCGGAAAGCTCGTCCGCAATCCGCGTGAACAGGTCCGCCAAGGTCCATCGCCTTAGCCTCGCTCCTCAGCTGCGCAAAGACCTTGCACGAGAACTCATCGCGAAACTCCTTGCCACTCGGTTTGTGAACCGCGCGCGGGATCCTTATCTCAAGGGTAACGTCACGCTTGTGACCAAACGACAGCTCCTTCAAAATTGACCTTCAGGACGGTCATCTTTTCACGCTCGGCATTGCCTGCACTGGCTGCCGTAGCGCCCTGGATCAGAGAGAACCTCAGTAGGGCACTCGCGAGCGCCCAACGGAGCCCAACGGGACAT